ATAAACTCCAAGATCCCTCACATCTCCTATTCAATAAGAGATTTCTTAAATAATAATTAAAAGATAATTCAAAATGATTTTTCTATTTTTTGTCTTTTTACGGATAGTAAATAAAAAAAAAAAAAGAAAATTGTAGACTCTAAAATGATAAAATAAAAATTTAATATAAAACGACATTAATTGATTCTATATAAAAACAATATGTACATAAAACTACCATGTAAACGCATGAATCTTCTACTATCTTGTGTCTGTTTTACAGTGGTCCTTCCCAGACTTAGACAAATCGGCCAGAGTTCCGTGAACTCTTAATCTGTAAGAACAATAATACGGAAAATTCGAAACTTTTCATATTAAGTGACTTTTATAGGCTGACCTGTAAACGCAGGTATAGTTAGGATGGCCATGGTTTGATAAAATATTAAATTCGATTAATCTAAATGGCTTATTTTTCTTTGGTTTTATGTCGAACGTTTGTAAGGGGGGACCATTGATGTTAAACGTGAATTTTCCCAAACACACTCCTACATCGTCATTCGGAGATTCCAGTCCCTGTACACAATTTTTATGACTCTTTCAAATAACACAAGGTTAATACTAAAAGTACTGCAGGGATAAAAATAATAAATTTTTTTATACAAATTCGTAGTTATTATTAAAGAAAACAGGGCGAATTGAGGGTAAATTAAATTTTATTGGCCCAAGGCAGAAGTATTGGAGGTGGTTTTCGTGCCGAATATTATTAAAAATGATGAAGACAGAGAAGTTTATTACAATCTCTTTTTTATGCCTTTTGAGAGATGCATAGATAATGTAATTTTAAATTCTTATTATCAAAGGAAGAAGGATTGGTTGTGACTATTATATCGTAAACCTTGAAAAGGTACCTTTGTTACCGAAATTTTCTTTACAATTAGACGTTTAGTGTCGTGTTTTGGCGTTGGGGTTTGAGATATGTTTTTGGTGTTTTGCCTAATTGTATAAGTGAATCTAGTGTGCAAGTCTACGCTTGATTTCAATTATTGTGATGTAGAAAAAATTATGGAAATGGCATTTTTGTTGCTTCGGTGACTTTGGATTAGTGGAAGTATCATAAGTCTTACAAAAACTTACATAAATGGCGAAATTCTTAGGAGCATTGCTTATTTCTCCTGTGGGAGACAGGGATTTAGGTATATGTTCCAATGTAACTCCATTAATTAAGACAAAACTTAAAAGATGTATTATAACGGAAGCAGAGCCTCCTTGAAATGCCCAACATTCACCAGGCATAACGCTAGGTTTAAGAATCGCTTCGGGACGGTTCAATGGATTTGGACAAAGTTCAATGCCCAGATATTTTACTTTTCCTGAAGAACCAGGACAATAAGGCTTCCCTTGGCGGACGGCTACAATGCCGCCGCCCGCTGATTCAAGGGCGAAATCTGTTTTTCCCGTTTTATCCGCTTTAAATTCTAAGAGTGCTTCGTTCACCAGTTTACGAATATTTGAACATTTCTTATCTGGACTATCGCCGGAGCAACTGCATCCTTTTGAGCTTTCTGAAAGGATTTGGGAAGGATGTTGAAATGGGAGATAAAGGATAAGTGATAAAAGAATGGGTTTAATAAAGGGAACATATCATCCATTCTCTTTATTTTCTTATTTATCTTAAGCCTTGTAATTATTCTAGGGAATTTTGCAAATGTCTATGGTGTCAATTTTTGTAGATACAGGGTTTGTCCGGAAAGTAATAGGACTGATTTCCTTCCGCCGCGACTGTACTTCGGAGTGTGCGCGTACCGACTGGATTTGGTAGAGGGCATTCTTGGCTAACGAACGAGCGGCTGGTGAGTTGTTTCCGAGCACCTGGAGAGTCAGAACAGGCTTTTTCGCGCAACGTGTTTCTGTGAGTGGTGCAAGCCGAAAATGCAGCGTTCGTTAGAGCAGAGGTACGCGATTAAACTCTGTGTGAAACTCGGTAAATCTGCGACAGAGACGCTTGATATGATCAAGCAGGCTTATCCAGATGTTGCTTTAGCAAGAAGTGGTGTGTTTCGGTGGCTCCAGGCCTTTTCAGAGGGCCGGGAAGAGGTCGCCGATGAAGACCGTGCTGGAAGACTTTCGACTTCGACAAACACCGACAATGCGACTCGTGTGCGCGAAGTTTTGAACTCAGACCGTCGACTAAGTATTCGTTTAATTGCCCAGATATTAAATTTGCCAAGATAAGACATCGCAGCCGACTGGAAGTTGCACCACGACAACGCACCGGCTCACAACGCCTTTTTTGTGGACAGCTACCTGACCAAGGCCGACATCCCAACGCTTTCGCAGCCGCCCTACAGACCAGATGTGGCCCACGCGGACTTTTTTTTGTTTGCTCGGCTGAAAAGGGCGGTGAAAGGGAAGCATTTTGAGACGACAGAGGGGATCCAAGCAGCATGCACCGTGGCTCTTAAGGCTTCCCGGAGAATGCCTTCCGTGACGCCTTCAGTGCTTGGAAATCGCGTTGGCAGCGCTATATCGACGCAGAAGGAGCCTACTTTGAATGTTTTTAAAGAATTGTAACGATAGGCTCAATAAATTTTTTTAAATCGACTCAGTCCTATTACTTTTCGGACAAACCCTGTATATGTATAATATGAAGGTGTTTTGAAGAGATTAGAAATTTTTATAATTTTGATTGTTGAATTTAGTAAATTGTTAACAAATGAAAAATTCTGATTAAATTTCTTATATATGCTCTGTTGAAAGGACTAATTATATATAAAATACAACGTCTAATTATACAATATTCTACTGGTGTGAAACTTCTTCAAATACACAAACATACCGGGATAGGGGTTAAGGAATTGGCGTCAGTGGCGTCGTTTCGACTGCAGAGTGTAGACACACATACACAAACGCATACATTTTGTTAGGGCTACACTATAGATGCAGGAGTTGCCTGTAATGAACGTTGCATTGAAGCGCGCTCCGGCTCAAGCGATCTCCACTACGAACTAGACTACGTGACCGAGTAGAGGGGGGGACATCCGTTGCATGATTTCGTTACATAGCAACTCGCATGAAACGAACTTATTCTACCGTGCGTAAAGAAGTTTCACTTCAAAAAGGTTTTTAATTACAATCAAAAAATAATTTACCAGGTTTCGAAGGGCATATTTCATCAGTGGCGCATGTCGGAAAGTCCAATTCAAGTTCCTTCTTGTAATGAGAATTTAACGATGATAAAATGTTTTCAATTTTCGAAAGCTTCTTATCAGTTTTCTTGCGAGTCTCGCAAATATCGCTTGTTAAACTGCCCATCTGGAGTTTGATGGATGCGAGGTCTGATTTATTTTCGGTAATAGTCATAAAAAGTTGATTGGCGATAAGGACAAAGAATACAACAGAGGCGAACGTAAACAACTTTAAGGTATTTTTTCTCCAGCTAACTCTATCGCAGGAACAAGCAAAAGGCCTTCCTGTTATGTCCATAACTTTCTTCCGTTTTTTAACCAAATTTGGGCAAATAGTATGGTCCGTATAACAAATTACGGATTGGCAACCTTAAATTATTGATTAAAGTAAATATTGTGGGTGGTCCAACAGTGTGTTGTCAGCAGTCAGGGAAATAACGACAAAAAGAAACCAAACTTTGGAAAAATTCACGGAAAGTTAGATTTTCATATTATACTTTCTTTTGTGGTTATAAAAAGAATACTGCCGAGTGTCATGATCGTCACGCACGCTTAGTGTCGCTAAAAAGGTTACTTGAAGTCAAAAGTCGCAAAAATCAGGTTAACGATCACAAGAACACAAAAAATGGTAGTTATACTTCGTTTACTTTCTGTGGCGATGTGAACTTCAGTTTGACCGGCGCAAAGTAGAAAAGAACAGCACTAGGCCAGAAAAGGAAGGAGACAACTCTCGGCCAAACTCTTAACCGGTGAGGAGCGTATAATCTGTACAGTACTGTACGGAAAATTGACCATTTTATCAACTACAATTGCATTGCTCAAATGTGCTGTTAATGGTGCCATTTACTACTGAAAATATCAACGAGATGTTTATTTATATTTGAAGATATATTAAAGGCTTTAACGCTTGTTTTCGACTCGCACTACTATTCATGAATGAACCAAACTTTTGGCAGGTACTGTATGAAAAAGTATGTTTAATGAACAAGAGTCGAGAGTATAATGAGCTTTTTTCTCCCTACCTATGATTTTGACAGCGTGCATCCAAGACATTGGACGGGGCACATTGCTAGAGAAAATATATGAAGTATATCACCTATTTTTTTCAGTCAACAGAAGCAAAGATAGTTCAAAAACACCATTAATATAAACGCGATCTCAAAATCGATTTTCCCTTGTATTTTGTAACATATTGAACATGAATTTATACAACAACCTTTGAATTAATAATTGCTATCTGTATACACCCTTAAATTCACTTATTGTTAATACATATACATCTACGATTGACTTACTAGTAATTGGATTATCACTTTTATTATTTTCTTGCGAAGAGTTTGTTACTTCCGGCAATGCTAGCGAAGAAATGTCGGGATTATTTTCGCCGTTGTCTTGTTCATTGAACTTTGCTGCAATTTTTAATTTTTCAAAAATGTAGTAGGTAAAGTATATCACTCGATTCTTTGAAAAGTTCTGAGTCCAGAGTCCACAGACGTTACAGAACTTATGCATTACTATTAAATATTGTTGTGAAAGTTCATTTTCAATTTTTTATTCACTATATATTACATCAAGTTAACAAGAAAAAATTGTTGCTGTTGTCACACCCTCGCCGGGAATCGAACCCGTTACGAGAAGTAACAGCAGCAACAATTATTCCTCGCACAAGGAAAGTACGTCCGGTTACAAAACTTTTCAGAGTCGATTTCTACCTTTTTTTATGGAATACTTTGGATCAATTTTAAACAATAAAAATTTAACTGTTAACGCACCTGCTAGCCTTGTATAATATTTATGTTTGTGTGAACCGTTTGAATTGGCTGATTCACTTTCTAAAACATATTAAAATTAGAATTAAAACTAATATTCAATATTGGACGAGTATTGCAGTCCATAAAATACGCCCAACAAAATAACATATTTTTGACTGGTTCCTCCCCTTCATGTCAAGCTGCATCTCATTTTCTTCAATTCTCTATCAGTAATTAGTCTTTTAGTAATGAACCTTCTTTATATTGCGAATAAAAATTGTTTTATATTTCTTACATTTCTACATAATTTCCACCAATATTATGCCACTTGGGATTTATCATTTCGAAAAACTACTGTTTGTATTACATCCTCATAAAAGTTTTCTGCTTGCTTGCTATCTATTAACCAAATTTAGCGATTTTTATCTTTGGACTCGCCCTACCTAGAAGTTTGTTTTATTTTTCTTTTTATCAAAAACCAGCTGAACCAATAAATACTGGGACTAACCATTCCTATATAAACTCTATACAGACTATTCCATATAGGTAATAGACATTAATTCATTTCTACTTCTCCTTTTTTGATCCACTCGATAAGTAACGCCAAAATACATACAAAAGCCTTCATGCTTTTAAACAATAAAATTCCACGTTGGACAGGTATTAATTCCCCTTCATATATGATTTAAAATACTCTTTTACCAGACCCCTCTTCCCTTACAGAGCCATATGGCTTACGGACAGTTCCTTATATCGGAATCGAAGCAGCAATCAATGGAAAGATGACATTCTGCATGAGAAATTCAACACTTTCAGGTCGTGAAATTATGTCTAAAGTGTTTTGGAACAGCTATAGGATGCTGCTTGAGGGTTTTTTTTATCTGGATGGTCAGCGCCACGAGGAGGATAATGAAGCCAAAATGGCTGTGTTACACTGGTTGTCAAATCAGACTACAGTCTTCTATGAGGATGATGATTTAATATTGGTGGAAATTATGACGAAAAATAGGTAGTACATTAAGATAGAGGATACCATTCAGAAGTTAAACTGTAATGAGAAACTTCCCTGTTTCTAATAAAATAATTCGAAGTGGTCTGTGTTTGTGGTTGATTTTTTAGGATTTCATCAGCGCGTCGCAACAGCTCCGACACAACACAGACCAACTTTTACCTGCTGCCATCTGTAGTACGATCGGAGCTGTCTGCGACGCGCTGATGAGATCCAAAAAGATCGTCCGCGTCTGGCAGTTTCGACAGAATACGGAACCACTTCGAATTATTTTATTCGATTATGGTAACGTGCCTATCACGTTGAGGTTAGCTACGCCGGGATTCGTTTCAGCAAGTAGACATCCATACCTTGTTGGAGCATACGTAATCCAAAAATGTAGCATCGTACTACAGATGGCGTTTACCGCGCCATTTGTGGTATTTCCCTGTTTCTTTTTATTTCGAAACAGTACTTACTTAATAGAAAACACTTACAGTTAGTCAGTATTTGCGATATAAGGCGAACTTGGTAAGTTCTCAAATAATTTCTGTATTCTACTTATGTACGTAATTACATTCGTATATGCGTACCTCATGTGTCCGTAAGAAATATATCAGATATACATTAACCATGAACATATAAATTGCAATACCATTATGTTACCGTCAAGTACTATCTATCTAACTGTGGTAACAAAATTTATTCTATAAAATGCAACTACTAAAGAATTTGGAAATCTGAAGTCCACGCTGAAAATTACTTGGAAAATAACATTAAGAAAGAACTCTGTCAATTCAAACTGACATAAGTATACATATACACTAATGACAATATAGGTACCTGTATTTATTATATGTATAAAATAGTGTATAATGCTAAAAACGACTATATAAATAAAACATTAAACATAGAAGAGAACATGCAGAGCTTTAAAAGGACTTGTAAGATTAGCGATGGTTTAAATAATTTCGCATCGTTTTTTATTTTAAAAAAGCAGTTTTATCAAGGGCAGAAATACGTAGGTACCTGTTAAGGAACAACAGGATATACCATCATCATCATTAGGCAAAACCATAGAACTTGTGCTATTAGCAGCGGATAGACTCATTTTCCAAGATCGAATTCAAATACTGATTAATATTAGAAAAAATAAATTAAGTGTAAACGTTACATCGTTGTCATAAGCACACCTGATTTCGCTTTTTTTGAGAATTTTAGAATCTACATAAGCTCTTGGTTAATATCTTATGGAAACCACTAAATCGCGAGAATATGATCGAAATCGCAAAGTTTCGACAAATCGCTGAATAAAAATTTACACTGTTCTCATAAAATAAGTGTTGTTTGACATTAATTTTGTCATTTTTTTGAAACGTCTAGGCATGTAATAAGAAAGAATAATTTTATTTTGTGTTTATAAAAGATATGTGCCCAGATAAGTTAGTGGAAAGTGGTAATACAAAGGAAAGGGGGCATTTTTGGAATCATTAAGACGAGATTCTCAAACAATACACTAAACAACATGTGAAAAAAAAAAGTAATTGAATATTATGATGTTGTGATAAACCCCTAATGACACAAGTTATCCAGGCTACATTTTAATGGTATATATAAAAATATGCTGACACGCTAGAGCCCAGATAACGACTCTGTACTGGGAAAGTGCAATTTTGCATGATTAGCATTTAAGTTTTCTTTATTGTTCTTTAAATGTAAATCTTTGGATTTGTTACCAACACGTCTTACCATTCAGACATGCGAACCTACATCCTTTTTACTTTGTAGCATTTAACGCTTATATTGAGTATTAATGTACAAGTAAATAAATCGTGAACTCACTAACAAATTTGGTAACCTTTCTCAGTCCCCACAACGTTTTTCAGAAATAAAGAAATTTTTAAAAACAACCTTCAGAGGACAAAACTCACACCTATCATTAATAGTCAATATTAAAATACACAATAGAAAAGGTACCTCTAATAAACTAATTGTTTGCAAAGTAAACAAAATAACATAGTCATAAACCTTATTTAAAGTAAAAGTAACTCATTTTAAATAGCTAAGAACCCCAATTACAAAATTACAACTAAAAGCTATAACGAAACAATAGATGCAGAACGTTGACACAACAATATAGAAGAATTATTTGTTGCTGAACTGAAGAAACTATAAACATAAAGATAGAATAACTATTACATCTCAATCACTTTAAACAGAAAAATATGAATCATACTGAATCTTCGCCAAACATAACTATACTNTCGTTTTTGTTTCATTTTTTCATGATTTGGGTGAATCGCTTTTTTGTTTGGAAATAACAGTTCTTTTTTCTTTTTATTTGAGCGGGTGTGTTTGAAATTAAACGTTTACAGAAAAAGTCGCGAGAAATTATGATTCACGTGTTGTTCGAACTATAGAGGCACCTGGTTAATTGAAATTAGTACTCTTTTGATTTGCCTTTAGTAGCATTACCATTAAAAAAAAGGTCACTAATTGAAATGCATGTTTTTTCTTGTTAAATCTCCAACAATAAAAACTAACAAACTTACCTAGAAAACTGTTTGTGCCCCTATACTAATACGTAAGTCTTTATGGTTCTTCTTGCACGATAATTTAATGTAATTATTTGCCCTGCATGTAGTGTTTATTATTGTACTAAAATTTTTGCACATACTTTTACTGCATACTGTACATTCTTATAAAATTGTAATATTTACGTAATTATTTTTGTATTTTATCCGTTTAAATTTGGTCTTAATTGCTATTAAGGCATGGACGACGAAATCTGCCCCTACGCCACCTTCCATCTACTTGGTTTTCGCGAAGAGATGGACCCAAGCAAAGTTCAACAATTCCAAACTTTCCCTCATCCCCATGCTGGTACAATGGGCCCATCAGGAATGAACACTCCCCACTCCATGCATTCTCGTTCAGGATCTCAGTCCATGCCTCGTTCTAACAAAAGATACGAAAGAGGTGGTTCTCAAGGTAATATTTATTTTCCTCCTTTTTATTAATCAGTATATTTTAAAAGCCTTATAATTTTTGTTTTGTAATGTGTCAGGAAACGGAAGCATATATTCCCCAGGACCTGAATATGACGACCCAGCTAACTGCGCCCCAGAAGACGAGCAATATGGATCCCAATACGGAGGCTACAACGCACCTTACGATCAATATGGAAGTCGTGGTTCAATAGGTAGACGATCCATGGGTTCCATGAGACTTCAGCCAAACAACGGAAGCCCCGAACCTCCCCCACCACCACCTCGTAATCACGACCCTTCATTTAATGACTCCAAGGACAGCAATGAAATATCCGAAGCTGAATGCGATAGGGATCAACTGATAAATAGTCGCAGTTATGGGGGTACGTTAGTAGTAATAGTATTGTGGAAAATGAAAGCCTTATTTTGCTTTAGAGTGGATGGAAAAAAGGGGGAACGGAAAGGACCAAATGTCATCCTTGAATGAGAAAAGGAAATTTATTTTAATAGTTGAATTATTGTGGAAAATGAAAGCCTTATTTTGCTTTAGAGTGGATGGAAAAAAGGGGGAACGGAAAGGACCAAATGTCATCCTTAAATGAGAAAAGGAAATTTATACGGGGTGATAAATTTTAAATGGCAATGAATTTGATTCGCGAAAAAGAAATTTGATAATATGTATAACCTTAATTTATTTGAGACAACATATTACGTAATCAACATAAATAAACAATAAAATCTTGTGTAAACATCACAGGGTACAATAATTTCATATAAAAAATACTGTATTTTGTGTCACCAAAATACAATATCATTGCTAGAGGAACACCTTTATAGACCTATACCTACTACATGTACAACCTCTTATAATAAAAACGAAACACTTCAGATAACCGTAGTAAGAAATTTACACCCCAAATTGTTTCATTTCTTTTACAAGACATTTGTAAATCTAATTTTGGGCAACAACTAGGTATATGTAAAACACTAAGAATAAAGGATAAAACAAACTTAAAATAGGACAGTGGAATATATACATTTTACGTATGAAAATTAAAAGTTAATATATATATACAGGTATATACATATATTTTAAAGTAAGTATAAACATACCACATATACAAGTGTGCGCAAGCAATAAAGCAATAAACATTAGATAATTAAAAGAAGGCTTTTTTTGTTTATTACTAAGCATTTCTGTTATACTAAAAGAAATCTGAAAGTTTTAGAATTGCAGAGTCAAATATCAAACTCAAAATTCGAAATTTCTGAATTGAAATTAAAAAGGTTTCATACCGTGTTGCGCATGCGCATTTTAAATTCCACTGCCTTATTTCAACCCTATATTCTTAGTAACCTGTTCGTAGATGGTCCAAGCCATAGCGGTAACTAGAGTACGACGTAACATCCTGGGCACCATGCCTTTGAAGTAGCCCGCGAAACCATATTTGCTGTGCACGTGAACAATTGCAGAAAGGAGACTATGAAACTTGTTGGGATAGAGTTGCATTTTGGTTTTAAGAACATCGGCTGGCTGAGTGATTACGGAGGCCATTATGCCGGCGGCAATACCGCATGTGAAATGGATTGGGGCTGCGAACGAACTGTTCAGATGCTCTACGAAGAGGAAGAGGAATTTTTACCAACATTTCTATAGACTAGAGCCCTATAGTCGAACAGTAGCATGCAAGCAATAAAGAATATGGAATGGGGAACCACGGTGATAATGAATAATTATGCCAATAACACTGGGAAGGGGTGGGGTGCAAATATTATGAAACATACTTAATGTAAATTGTAAAATAAAACAAAGTAGAAAGATGAATTTAATTAAGTCCTGATCAGTTTCGGTCACAAGACTATTATCAAAGGTTAAAAGTAAATCTATACTGAATGACTAAAACAAATGCGACATTATACATAGGTACCTAATCCTAATGACATAAAATAAGTGGGGGGGTTAACAAAACTTAACTGTACTTGGTTGTTAACTAAATTTAGATTTTGAACAAGAGCTTTATTCTAAGAGAGACATTTTTTTGCTTTTCCTAATACCACTATGGAAGACCATAATATTGTTTATATCTAAGGAATGGTTTGATAATACACAATGTTCTAAAAAACCTGTTTTGGTGTCTTTTTTATCTTTTTTTAAATGCTCTGTAATTCTGACTTTAATTGCCTATTACTTTGTCTAATATAATAATGAATACTCTGTATAAACTATATTGTAATACTTATGAAACTTATTATATTGGACAAAGTGGTAGGCTAATTAAGGTCAGAATTACAAAGCATTTAAAAACAGACAAAAAGGTACCAAAACATGTCTTTCATCGCGTTTAAACATATTGTGGCCCTCCATGGTGGTATTAGGAGAAAAAGCAAAAAATTGTCTCTCCTAGAATCATTAGAGATTAAAAAATCTCTTGCTCAAAATCTAAATTTAATTAATAACCAAGTGAAGTTTTGTGGACTCCCCACTTGCTTTATGACATTAGGACCAGGTACCTACGTTTATATTGTTGCTTTAGAGATTTAGTATAGATTTACTTTTAATCTTTGATAATGGTCAGGATTTTATTAAACTGGTGGAACTATCTATGTTGTTTTATTTTATATTATATTATGTCAATGGAAAAAGGAGACGAATGAGGAAGTCTAATTTGTTAAGAATAATTGAAATTTAAATAACACACTGATCTTCCGAAATAAATAGGGACGAAAAATAAATAGAATAACGAAGATGTTATTTTACTATTACTGCAATATTTTTGAAATTTTCTATGTTCTATTCTAAGAGACAAGAAAAATGAATGGTATTTTCGGTCATAAATGGAAAAACATGGTCTGAAATAGCATGAAAGTTTAGGAACGTGTAAGCGTGAGCCAAGCCTATTTATATGATACCGAAGGTTACTCAAATATTCCATTTTTAAATTTCGACATCCTAGTTTGGTTCTTTTTGTAATGAAAACCAAAACATTTTTAAATATGGACAATGGACTATTTTACTATTTTTCGTACAAAACCCCAACAGGAATTATAATTAGTAACTTTTGAGTAGGTCATCAGAAATTCTAAACAAATGAAGAACGAAAGAAGCCACCACACGCATGTAAGCAATAATGGAATAGAAATAGCTAATTCAAATGCGAAACGAAATGAACGATTTTATACTGTCTTTAATAATGTTACAGTAATTTCTATATAAATAATAATTATTAATTAATTAAAATTAACAATCAATTAGACCAGACGCATCACAGTGAAATAGGTCCAAACAGCACCTTAATGTTTTATTATTTATATTAGTTGACATGCATTGAGTGTTTTTAATATTTTTATGATTATGTATATGTATAATTATTACGGTTGCTTTTATTTACTTTAACGCTTACATTTTTAAGTTCGATACCCTAGATCTCCGATTATTGCTTTGGGGATAATTTAAGTAATTCATTATACTGTAATGCCTTACTTTACTATCAGAATTATGGATTTTTAAAAACACAAAAAAAATATAGTTGCAAACAAGGAAGATCCGACTGGTACCGCTATCTTATAAATGATGATATACATGCATATGCGTCATGAAAGGTTAGAAATGACGACGAACATAGAACCACATTATTTAAGTAATTATAGCACAATGTGATTAACATCCTTTGTTATGGCTAAGGAATAATTAAAAGAATCTCTATTTCTATCATTTAATTACCCAAAAAAATAAAAACAATGCCTTTGTTTAATAAAATACCATTCGAACTCGTGTTATCAATAATTCAAAAAGATAAATTGTGCTGCTGTTAATGATGCTTTCTTCTGTTAGAGCAGTACAAATTGCAACCTACTATGTACACTTAGAGTGCAAAAGCTATCTTCAACTTTATTTTAGTGCCGCACTTATATAAATCATGTGAATGTATTATATGTATGATATTTTTTATGGAAATTTCAGTAGCCATTAGCTGTCACGAATATAGCATAATGAAAATCCCGCATTATGTGATCAGTATATTAATTATGCTAGGTCACCGTATAACGTGAACAAGCTAAACTTTCGCTTATAGAAACGAACGTTCAATTGGTGAGCAAAGTGTGACAATTTTTAAGATAAAACAAAGAACGGAACTAATCTTTAAAGCCTTTATTTGTAAGTGAAAAATGGTAAGACAATTTACGACTAATGAGGGATAGCTACAATGTTTTAAAAAACGATTTGGGGAAAAATTATTCTCTCAATTAGAACTCGAGGATCCGTTCAAAATGTCTGTTTATTTTGTTAATTATAGATGAATAACATCTACTGCCATTTAATTTAACGTTACTTTTTTTGTGTAAGTAAACGTGGTTCTAAGCATTGTGAATCTCACTTTCTTTTCAATGATATGCAGAATTTTAATCTCTATCCACCCTGTATATTTTTTAATAAATGTAATAAGTACTCACTTTGAGGTACAAGAAGTTTCATCTGGGTGTAGAACATAAAATATAGGCCTGAATAGGGTGCATCCCTAACCAGGGTTGGAATTAGTCCGCACGTCATGCCCTTCAATCCTTCTGTGTGATAAATGTGACGCAACGCCGACCCAACACTTTCATACTGGTAGACGCCGCTTTCGTATCTGAAACAATATACAATATCCATATAAGAAATATACTAAAAATTGAATATAACCGCAAGAAAAATTGATGATATAAGACCAAGTTATTGGTACTACATCGCTCTCTACTAACATTAACTATTCACTCTAGTATTTCCAATGTTAGACAAGGGCCTTACAAAGGTATCAATTTGCCACATTGAATCCATTTAATTATACACGTGATAGACTTTAAATTTCTTTGAAAGTATGAAAATCAATAAATACAAACACAAAAATCTGTTCCTCAACAAACAAATAATTAAATAATTCTTCGCTATTTAACCCCCAGCCCTCACTTCTACTTAGCTATAGTCATAGATTTGTATAGATAGATATAAATAGAGTCAAAAACGCTAAACCGAATTATCATTAAGTATGAGTAGAATCAATTAATCATAAAAATAAATGAAGTTAGGTCTTTATCCAGCAATAATTATCATGATTGCCATTTCTAATAAATAATGATTCCCTCACTTGTGTACATAAATAAACTAACAATAATTAGCATATTTAAATTATTATTACGATTGCTATATTTTTTAATTTTCACCATGCATATACGAGGGTGGATTGATAAGTTTCCGGCCTAACCAAGAGATGACGCCACTAGGCCTACCTTGAGGTGACATTCTATAGTACCATCCTTGGATAGCTTGTAGCTATAGTTTCAGCCCGATCTCCTTGCTAGTGTAGGTTTGACAGCACGCTGAACAAGACGCCTCTGTGGTTTTCGTAAAAATGGAAAAGCAGGAAAATCGT